TAGCGACCAACAGGTAAAAACAGACACTGGCCCACACAGAACGACCTCCAGGGGGAGCAGGCCGGAGCAGCTCCCCCCCGCCCCCCCGGCCTTCCGGCGGCTCAGGTGGGCGGCCCACGCAGGGAGCGCACCACCTTCCCTCACGCCACACCGCCACACCGTGAGGATTCTCGAAGCTCACTTCTGTCTGACTTGAAAGAGAAAGTGAATGGAATGAAAGCAGCACCTCAGGCTGCAGCTTTCAGAATGTAACCCCCCCCCCTCCAGGGGTCTGAGGCGCAAGCTGCGTCCCCAGCCACAGGGAGACGCTGCCCTTCCAGGCCCTTTCTCACAAGGGCGCAGCCTTTTCCGGAAGCTGCCTGATGCGTGTGATGCCAGGGACGGAGGGAGCAGATGAGAATCCAGCTTTTATCTCACCAAAGCTTAAACGAGATTTGCAAAACAGAAAACAATGTCACTCCTCTAATTTTTTTTTTTTTTGGTTTTGTAAACATTCTTCATTTATGTCACCATGTAATGGGTTTATTGTTATTTTTAACAAATGCACTTCTCAGCTTGAGTTTCTAATATGGTAAATATCAACTCACATAATCCATTAATACAAAAGCTCTCTGTGGTCCTTAACTTTTGCGTTTAAAGAAGTCCAAACCCAAGGTTTGAGAAAAGTTGTCCCACAGAAATTCTTATACAAGGAGACGTTTAAGAATGTTCACTACAGAGCCTGTGACAAAAAATGAGAAATAACCTATATGTTTATCAACTGGGGAGTCAAATAAAATGCAACTTATTCAAAGGATGGCATACACAGCCATGAGAATGAACTAAATCTTATATAATATTAATGTTTGAGCAAAAACCCAACTTTGCAGAATACGTACAATACGCTAACCATGTATATAACAAAACAGAGTATATTATATTTTGTTTACGGACCACAGAGACTGATGTTCCATTACTTGCCTCTGACTTGGGGGAGGGGCGGAGATATGTTCCTTTGGGTTTAGAGAAGACTGACTGAAGGCTAAAAATGCAATCGATGGATTAAAAACCCCCATTTATAAACTTTACTCATTCAACAGTTACCAAATACCAAACTCTTCACCTTACGGAGTGTATAAGCCCAGCAGTACACAACTAAGAATCAGCCATAACTGGTCGCTGATCTTTTTCACTCATGTTTTCATCTTGCACAACACTTACCACTGTGTCTTGCCCAAAAGTGCTCTGTTGATGGGTGTGTGTAATACCCTCTCCTCCTTTATCCTCCTGCCTACAGCGGAGAGAGTGACCTGTTTGACCTGGGCTTCCCATCTCCTTCCTCCTCAGCAGGACTGTGCTCTAAGTTACCCACCCCCTCTTGTTGCCTGAAACTGCACTGTTCTAGACGCCCCCTCTGGGCTCCTAGAGACCCGGGCTGGAGGCGCCCGACACTACCCACACCTCAGGCGGGCCGGCGCCACTGCCTAGCACACCAGGCGCTGCCCTTCCTGCCCTTCCCCTTGAGCTCTCACAGCTGAACTTCTACAAAAGACTGCGCGGCATTTGCCACCTTATTTCATCTTCCTCATCACCATCTAACCTTAGACTACAGATCCTATTATCCCCCCCAAACTTTGATACCTTTCTCTTTTTAAAATTTTTATTTACTTATTTTTAGAGAAAGGGGAAGAGAAGCAAAAAGAGAGGAAGAGAAACATCCACATGTGGTTGCCTCTCATACACTCCCCGCACTGGGGGCCTGGCCTGCACCCCAGGCCTGTGCCCCGACCGGGAATTGAACCAGCAACCCTTTGGTTCCCAGGTCGGCACTCAACCCACTGAGCCACGCCAGCCAGGAAACTTGTGACCACTCTCCGGATAGGACACAAAACGTCACCTTCAGGCAACAATGAGGTGCGAGACCTGCATTCCAGTGACAGCTCTGCCTGCCCTGAGCAGTGCGCTCTTGAGTGAGTCGTTGAACTCCTTTCCCAATCAGCGTCCTCATCTGTACATGATGTCTAGGGAAGGCAGCAGAAACATTAACTTGACAAGTCTATATAAAGTGCCCAGAGTACCATAGATGCTCATTAAATATTAACCCCCCCCCCCAATTTTCTTCTTCCAGGCTCATGTGAGAGCGACTCCTGAGGCTCCCCCTCTATCTTGGGTCACTTCCAAGTTTGAGTGCTGGATGCCCAACGGAATGCCAAGAATTTCCACAGGCCTTCCACTCAGCCTCCAACCCGACCTGCTCAAAACCGCCCATGCCCGCTGCCGGGAGGCACCCGTGGCGGCGGCGGGGCTGTGCGCGGGCGCGGCCCCTCCCGCCCCTCTCCCGCACGCAGAGCAGCGCGCAAGGTGCTCACCGAGCCCATCCGAGGCTCCTCCGGCCCACACCTCCCCTCCCCTGCGTTCCCACTGCAGAGTCGCCGAGTTCAGGTTCTACTGGGTTCTGAGCTCAACCCCAACCCGCCACGCAGGCCCAAACCCTGCCTTTCACAATGCGCACCACAAACCAAGGGTACTGATTACCTCGCCCATGACTTAAACCTCCCGTTTATCCACAGCCCAAACACGGAGTTCAAACACAGGAGACAGGAAACTCACGAGGCCCCAAGCTCTTAACCCTTCGCCATCCTCACGTTCCCGGCCTCTGGAGTCCAGCGCCGGCCCTCTTCCTGCCCCGCCACCGCTGCTTCCCACGCCGCCCGGCCCCAAGGCCTCGGTGCTCTCACAAGGCCCCAGGGAGCGGCTCTACCACAGACCAGCGGCCGGGCCTGGGCCTGGGCCTGGGCCTGCGCTCGGGGGCCGCTGCGAGCCCCGACTCCGCGCCCGGGCAGAAGTCTTCGGCGGCGGCGGCGGGGCACCGCACGCAGGGCTCCGCCCCGCAGCTGGGTGGCGCTCTGAGTGAGGTTTGTGCAGGTGAGGGTCAGGAGACCTGAGGTTACAGGTAATCAATACCGTCGCGAGTGGCGAGCCGCAGCTGAGAGGCACGGCGAGTCGGAGGGACTTGAGCCCAGCCTGGCTCCCGCCACAGGCCGTTTTCTCCGCAGGAGAGCTGGGGCGGGCACGGGCACCTGCCACGGCCCTGCGTGGGGCCGCGAGGTAAGACTGCGGAGGGGAGCGAACGCCGAAGGACACGAGCAAAAACCAAATTCCCATTTTGTGCATTTAAAAAGGTTAAAATACTGCTTCCCATTTCCAAGGATTCAATGTCATTCCTAACTTTTTTGAAGTAAAAACTACTCATCACACTTTTCCAGAATTAACATAAGGTCTTCTACTTAATAACGTCGCTTAGCCGGCAACTTCCATGGAGCCTAAGTGAGAATTAAGTACTTCTGATCTCAATGAAAACCCTCCTCTCCGCCCCCCAGCAATTTCCCCTGAAGCTGTGCAGTCAGCGGCGCCCCCCGCCCCGCTTTAGACTCGCACGGCCTCCCCTCTGCGGGTCCGCGGGGACGGCGACCGGAGGGCGGGGGCGGCTGTCCTCGCTCCCCGCGCCCCGTCCCCTTTGTTGCTTCTTCCATCCTAAGCCCTGTTTCCCTGTCTCCAGGTTTAACGAACGTCCTCTCAAAATTAAAAAAATAAATAAATAAAAATGCACTGGTTTCTGTCTTGCGAAAGAAACGGACTCGGACCCTTTAAGCCACGGTCGCACCACTTGTCTAAACTCTCACTCACTGCGCAGCACCTGCCAGCGCCGGCCCGGCCCCCGGCCCGGGACCCTGCCCGGGAGCCAAGCCCGCGGCCCCGGAGCCCCGGCACGAAGCCGCCGCCCCACACTGGGATCGCGGCGCGGTCCCCGCCGAAGGTGCAAAACTGCGGGACCACGACGCTGTCCGCCCCCGAGCGTCAGCTGGGACTGAAGAATAAAAAGGTCACACGGGAGCCCCCCCACCGCCCGCCGAAAGCCACCACCGCGGCACTGGGCCGGCACCGTCCGCCGGCGGGCCCGCGGCCGCGGGGACCCCCACGCCCCCCGCCGGAGACGCGCCGTCTCCGCGGCGACCCGTCCGCCCGGCGGCGAGCGCTCCTCGCGGCGCGGGGCGCGGCCCCAGGGCCTGCAGACGGCTCGCCCCGCAAATCGGAAGTGCGATGGGAGGGACCCCGCAAAATCTCGTGAGACGCAGCAAGTTTTGAGCGCCCCATCAAGACACCCACAACCGCTGCATCTGGCTTTCCAAATACCGGGTTTGTCTCCAGCGTTTGCAAAAGGAAGACCACCCAACCCGACGCAGGACAATGGTCCCCACGCCGGGACAGCGTTTTAAATCACCCGGGCCCGGCGCCCTGCCCCCACGACTCCGAGCCGCCGCCGCGCGGGCCGGGCCGCGCCGCGCCGCGCCCGCTGGGACTGGAGGGAAAGTGGAGCTCGGGGGTCGCGGGCGGCTCCGGGCCCGGCCGGGGGTCTCCGCGGGTAAAGGCTCCGGGGGCGGGGGGCTGAAGGTGCACGGCCGGGGGACGGGTGCGCCCAGGCCGCTCTCCCGCGGGCTTGCGTCGCCCATTCAACTTCTCAGGTGTCACGCCGAGCTCGGAGCCCCCGAGGGCGGCGTGCGCGGCTGGCAGTGACAAGGAGCACCCCTGTCGTGTGCCAACGCCACTTCCCACGTGCGCGAGTCCCGGGGCGGACGGGCTCGCTACCGACCCGCTCCGGGCGCGAACCGCCCGGGATCAGAGTCCGGCGGCCGCGGCCGGGCAGCGGGAGCCGGGGCCGACGGACGCTCCCGCCCCGCCCCCCGCGCGCCGCGCTCCGGTGCCGGCCGCGGGCGGGCTCCCGCGCCGCTAGCGGGACTGCGGGCGAGCGGGCCGGCCGAGGGGCCCGCGCGGCCGGGGACGCGGCCGAGGTCGCCGCCGGGCCGTGGGGGAGGGGTCGGCCCCGCGGCCGCCGCCACCTCCCCGGCCCGCAGGCCGCCGCGCGGGCCCGGCCGCCGGAACCGGAGCAGGAAGCGTCCCCACCCGATCCCAGCTTCGAGCCCGCCGCGCGGGAGAGCCGGCGCCTGCCCGCGCCCCCTCACCTCCTGGTTGAAGGCGTTGACGGCGTCCATATTCGCGCTGCGGCGGCGGCGGCGGCGGCTCCGGGCCCGCCGGTCACATAGACTCGCGCAGGGCGGAGCGGGGCCGCGGCCCGGCCGGGCGGAGGCGGGGGCGGAGCGGGCGGCGGCGGCGGCGGCGGGGCCGGGGGCCGGGCAGGAAGCGGGGCGGCAGGCCGGGCGGCGAAGGGCCCCTCTCAGTGCTGTTCGGAGGCTGAGGAACAAGAGGCGGCGGCGGCGGCCCTGGGCCCCAACATGTCCGTTCGGTGGCGGCGGCTGCGCTTTGCGTCTCGCTGACACGGCCCCGCGCCCTCACGCACTGGCCACACGAGCCCGGCCGGCGAGCGGGCGGCCTCTCTCAGCCTCTCGCCAGCGGGATGGCGGCAGCGGCCCGAGTCCACGCCGCGCGGGGCACCCTGGGACGGCTCGGGCCTCCCAGCGCTTCCGGTGCCCGCTCTGGCCCCGCCCCGCCGCGCCCGCCCCGCCCCCGTGCACGCCGGCCCCGCCTCGCCTTGCGCGCCGGGCGGCGGGCGCGGGACGCCGGGACGCGGGGCGGTTTCCCGCCCGCCATGGCCGCGGGCCCGGGGGCTTCCGGGCTCGGCAGCCGCGTCCCGGAGGGTCGCCGGAGGGCGCGGATCCCAGTGCCGGGAGGGTGGCCCCTGCAGCCTGCGGCGCCCCCTGGGGCATTTCCGAGTGTCGTAAGGTCCGAGCAGGCCCTGCGCCCGGCCCGGTGGTGCGGGCGCGGAGCCCAGAACAAAGGGCGCAGGACTTCGCCCAGCCCGCGGGCGCGCTTCTGCAGGCGCCCTCGCAGCCTCTGCCGCGCAGCCCCATGTGTGTTGCAGTTGTGCGGGTTAGTCTGCGAGGTGAAGCGCCGAGAAGGACATACAGGCCCAAAGGAATCCCTGTTCCTTGGAACAGCTTTGTGCCACGGGAGCAGTGGACTTGCTAAATCCTGACATCGACTCCCCGAACCACCTTGCTTCTTTATTGGTGGCAAGACTTTGCCCTGATTCACTTTCCCTGAATATCTACTGTCTTCCAGGCGCTCGGCTGGGTTCTGGGCACATGGAAATAAAAGATCATTTTTCTGCGTTCGGACAACCCAGGTTAGTGGAGAGGACAGGCAAATGAGCAGAGAATAACTAAAGCACGATAAATGTTAAGGCAGAGACCCTGGGGAACAAAGAAGAAAGGTATTCATCCAACTAGAATTCCAGTAAGGCTTCTGGAAGGAAGCGGTACCTGAGCTGCATCTGGAAGAAGCAGCAGCATTGGGAGAAGACATTCCAGCCTGCGCTTGATGAGTTCGGTGGCCCCAGCCTCCCCCAAGGAGGGCCAGCGGGCGCTCGGGCAGTGAGGTGGACCCGGAAGGAGCGATGAAACCAGGTCCTGAAGTGTCTGTGCCATTCCAAGGAGTTTGGATTTTGTCCTCAAAGTAGTGGGGAGCCACTGAAAGATAATAAGGGGAGAGGATGGTGTCGTGCAATGTCTTCTTTCAGGAGAAAAGCGTGGAGTAGTAGCAAGAGTGGGATCAGGGAAGGCATAGCCCTCGTCTGTGCCTGGGGCTGTGCTGGAAGCTAAGGCACTGGAGCTAAGAAGGAGAGACAAGATCAGATATTTAAGAAGGGGAATGCAGGGGCTGTGAGATTAAGGAGGAAGGAGGTTTGGAGAAAGATGGTCAAGGCTCTGGCTTGAACGATGCAGGTGGCTGGGTTTCTAAGTCAATTTAGGGAATACATGGGGAGAAGGGAACCGGTTTGAGTGAACAGGATCGTGTTTAATACTTGTGGGTTGTTCACATGTGCCAGGCTCTATCTGACATGCTATTTAGTGTTATTTAATCTCCATAACAGGCTCCTGTGTGAGGTGGCTATTAGGAATACCCCTGTGTTACACTTAAGGAAGTGAGGCCCCCATTCTGTTAACTAAAGTGAATTAAATGACTTCCTTCTGGGGCCTCTGGAATTTGAGCTGCCCTGGAGGCAAGTAAGTGAAGATGTCAAGGAGGCAGCTGGATAAGCACAGGTGGGACCAGGATAGATGGCGGAGCAGTGGTAGGGATCTGGGAGTCATTAGCACACAGCTGGTATAGGAAGGGCTGAGACGGACCGGGGACTTAGGGGTGTGAGGGATAAGAATTCTGTTGGAGCAAAAGGCAGGAAAAGAAAGGGCACATGAGGGGCAGTCAGCACCCCTCCCACCCCACCCCCCACTCGTGCTGAAGGTAGACGTTAGCAAGGTAAGGACCGGCAGGGACGCTGGCTGGCTGGGGTGCGAGGCCAGGCACCCTCGGGAGGGCGGCAGGAGGCACGTCACGGAAACCCGGTGGCCGGGAAGACAGTGTGTCAGGGCAAAAGCTAGAATGAGGGGTGCACTCGTTTCTTTTAAGACAAGACAAATGCACTCTTAATCATCGAAGGAACAGAGTGGATCCCAAATATTCTTTCCAGACCTACCCATCGTCGACTTCATAGTGCCACCTTTTTCTCTCTCAGTCAAACTACCATGATGTTTTTTAAAACCTGTTTGCTGTAAGAGTTGTCCTCTGTAGGTCCACTAACATTGCATTAGAAAACGCAGTTTTTAGTGCATCAGCCCCTTGGCTTTCTGCCTGATTCATTGCTTGCCAAAGTACTGTGGGAGATTCCACGCCGTGTTTCCAGCCTTCTCCGAGGGCACAACCCGAGCCTTGTCATTCCCTGGACAGGGCTGGGAATGACACAGGCCGGGCTTTGCTCTCAGGGACAGTCCCCTTCTGCTCCTCCAGGGGGGCAGGCCCACTTAGCATCTGGTTGACATTCAGATGTCAGAGTCTTTCAACGATCAGTCACGCATCAGGCACCTGCGCTGTGCCGGGCACCAGGCTGAAAGCTGCCCGCTCTCCCGGCCAGACTCAACATCTCCCAGCACGTGCTCCCCCAGCCCGGCCATAGCACGTCTGACCTTGTGTGACTCCAACATGCTCTGCCCCTTACCTTCTCCCACCCCGTCCTGTGAGCGGCAGGGAGTCTTAAACATGGGTGCACAAAGCCTAATGGGTCCTTCTCCCTCAGTTCACATGACCAGTCTTCTCCCCGCCTGTGAGTTGGGGAGGTGGGTTTGGCTAAGGAAGGTCGCAGTCCGAGGCTGGGGTGGGAAAGAGAGGCTGTGGGGAAGGCGGCGAGTTCAGCTTCGCGCAGTTCGCACGCGGGACTCGGGGCACTACAGCGGCTGGCTCTGCCGTGGCTGTGCAACTGAGTGAGTGGCGGCCTGAGGGAGCACGGTTTCCGTGAACCATCCTATTGAGGTTCGAGTGGACAAGAAACAAGGCTTAGCTGGCGGGAGCCTTGTGTCTGAGTTGGGTACTTTTGGAGGTTCTTTTCTGGATCCAGTCGGTTTTTATGTAGATAATGTTTGAGAGCTCTTTCAAGCAAGTTGTTTGGGGAATACGTGTTGTCAGCTGGACTTTGGGTGTCCTGCCAGGGTTTTCTGTTCAGCAGACGGCAGCCCCACCTCTTTTCTGTGTGTTTTTAAATTGATTTGAGAGGAAGGGAGGGGGAGCAGGAGAGGGAGAGAAGCATTTATTTGTTGTTCCACCTACTGATACAGTCGTTGGTTGCCTTTTGTCTGTGCCCTGACCTGAGATCAGACCCGCAACCTTGGTGTATTGGTGTGTCGGGAAGGTGCTCTAACCAGCTGCACTACCGGCCAGCACCTGTATCTGCTTTGGAACATCTGCCCTGCACCTGCATAGTCGTTGCTGGACTTGGGTCTCTATCCCTCTAGGCAGATGAGTCACACCCTCTAATAGGAAGTGTTGGGCAAATGACAGAAGGGGGCTGTGCCTTCAGAAGCCCTCGAAGCCGAGGAATGCAGCCTGTTCAAAAGATGTGGCGCTGACGGTGAATGCACATGACGGATAAAAATCAGCCAGACGTTTGGTCCAGTTGCAAACCAGCCTTCTCTCAAAGGGCAGCCATCTAAGCGGGCTGTGATGATAATGTGGGTGTGAAGACAGTTTTGAAAAGCCATTCCAAACACGCCTGTTTTCAAAGAGAGTAGATGAAATCCCTTCTCAGAGGAGGGAAAAGATGACATTCGCCAAGTGATATTCTTGTTAATACCCTGGTGGCGTAGCTCGGCTGGTTAGAGGGTCGCCCTGAAGCTCCAAGGCTGCAGGTTCAGCACATGCAAGAATCAACCAATGAGCGCATACAGGAGTGGAACAACAAACTGATGTTTCTCTGTCTTCTTTCTCTCTCCCTCTCTCTCTAAAATCAGGAAATAAATTTTTTAAAAAATTCTTGTTAATTCTTTTCTTTTTTAGCTAATTTTTTTTATTATTAGTTTGCTTAAATTGTCATAGACTCTGAACATTATGAGGTTTCCCCATAATCATTTAATTATGGCACTATTTTCCAGTTTTTCTTTTTTTTCTTTTTATCATCACTATTTTTTTTCTTTTCTTTTTTTTATTGTTTAAATACATTTGTCTCCATTTGCCCGCCTACATCCTCATTGATTCTGTGTCTTTCACATGTGACTCCATTCTTGTGGAAGGCATGCCGGCTACAGTCCACGGGCGCAGAGAATACGCCTCCTCCCAGGCAAGTCCTCAAAGCAGTCACAGAGGAGCATCCAGGCTCTTTCTCCTGCAGGTCCCTGTGCTTCCTGGGGCGGCTGCAAACTCGAGACGTTGCACAGGACCCCTCTCCCCTCCCCAGCCTGCGCTCCTTCCCTGCACGGCCTCCCCTGTCCCCGGGAGCCCCCCTGCCCCTCTGCCTTCCCCCTGCGGCACCTGAAGCCTCTCCTGGCGTACAGCCGCCTCCCCCAATGTCCCCTGGGAGGCCCGCGTGCGCGTCCCCCCTGTCCCGCGCACCTGATCCCTTCTCCTGCGGCCCCTGTCTCCCTGCCCTTTATGCTGCCTGTGAGGCTGACGGGGAACTGGGCGGAGCTCAGTGCCGACTGAGGTGGCGGGACTTCAGGGGATTTTCATTTTCTTTCTAATTTTTCAGCACTTTCTAGACTCGCCAAAGAAAGCATACATTACTTTTGTAATCATACAGAGAAAGCTCCTAAAAAAGAAATAAAGAAAGGAGGGAAGGGAGGGAAAGAAAGAAAGAAAGAAAGAAAGAAAGAAAGAAGGTAAGTGTGCAGCAAACCTGAAGTGCTTTGCACAGGTCGCCTTGGCCGCCACCACAGCCAGCACGTGAGCGAGCACAGGAGGGGCGCGCTGCCAGGGCTCTGCAGAGAAACAGAAGCTTGGGGATGAATATATATATATTTTTTTTTCTTTTATATGTCCTATTAATATATACGTATATATTTCCTCATATGTAGTTATATATGTGGAGATTTATAGATACATAAAATCTGCCGTCTGCAGTTGGAGAATCAAGAAAACCGGGTGGGGG